TGCTAAAAACCAGGAGACAGACGGACTCACCATCGTCCTTCAATGTCCAGTTGGCCTGAAGGACCGGCTGCAGGTGTCCTGCATCATCTAGTCTGGTGTCTATTGTCACCTGGAGATCTGCAGGTTCGCTGGGGGTGTACCTGTGGCTCACCAGCCACCCAGGGTCCATGCAGTTACCTGCAGAGACAAACAGGCATGCAAAGGTTATAGACAGCTTGTTTTGGGTTTAACTGTAAGATGATTTAACACGGCTTAATATTCTACATATTAGATGTGATTCAGGTCTAGATATAGAAAAATATAGAAAATAGGGATATTTTCTGTTACAAGAATCTCACATTAAAAAAGGTAAGCACTTCTAAACCTTTTCAAAATAATAAAAAAAACCTTCAAAGTAAAACAAGTATAACAATCAATGATCAAAGAACATAGTGTCCTATGGTGATGTAAAAAAACTTACTGTATTTAGTTGCACAATTCACATCCTGTATCAGGAACAAAGAGAACAAATGTTATTCTTAGATATTCAAAGGATAAAAATGAAGACAGATTAACTCAGATTTTATTCCCTGGGCTTTAATGACCCGGTAATAAACATCTGGGTCCGTATTCACAAATAAAACGTCAGAAAACAGTAACCCTGAGGAACGCCATTTTAAAGAGGATTGAAGAATTTCTCAGAAAACTAAACATATTTCCCTCCTTGTTCCTCACAAAGTATTAATAATATTTTTTAAATATATTTTTATCATTGAGAATATTATACAGTTTTCAAATTAGGGCTGGGCAATTCATTTCATTTTGCAATTTAATAAAACCCAATTTTCAAATCGCAAAGGCATTCAATTTTAATCACACTTTACTTAACAATAGTAAGACACATTTCTAACTCCAGCCCTTTAGGTGGCGCTAAGACGCTTAGAGTGGGTTTGTCCGGCACAGAATGGTAGATAGTTTTGCGGCTAGCCTGCAGGTTTGTGCACGCAAGTAAAAGCAAACACTTTTTCCACACAAAGGCAGCAATACTCTTAAAGTGGGTTTACCACCAAAAAGAAGGAGGGAGAAAAAGTTGCAGAAAGCACAGAAATGATAGTAGAAGTGAAGCCTTTCGGACTTCCAGGTAAAAGTAAAATCCCCTTTAAATATAAAACTTCAAATAAAATGGGAATATCGTAATAAGTGGAGAGGGCACACTGAAAATCTGTAAGAAAAATGAGAGAGAAGTGCTGGAATCAGAGAATACGAAGAAACGAAGAAATGGTAGAAGGACCAGTGAACATCAGCAGCGCGAGAAAAAAACACCTGGAGGTTTGAAGCTGAATCATGTCTGATGAAAACAGCATCAGCACTAAGCACGGTGGTGGCGGGATCATGATTTTAACACAAGTCTTTCATTAACAGCTCCTCTCTACACTAAAGGGTCAAATGTGAAGGTCCAGCTGGGTCATCAGCAGCAAACGGTGGGAAGTGGTAGGGAAAGGTGGGGGGCACGGTGGGAAAAGGTGGGGCGCGGTGTTTTTCAGGGGGACAGAAAAATAAAAATGATTGTGATGAAAACCTGGTCATATCCTAGTATGGCGGAAGTTTTAAGGTGACTTTAGTTTTTAGAGTCACTAAAGCTGAATGATTAAATTGGTCTAAATCAATTATCATCAGTTATATGTTATATCTGTTTGGAGATGGATACACTAATGCTACGTTCAGACCGGACGCAGCAAAAGCAGCAAAATCGCGTCTGCTGCTTCCTTTTT